TACAAACTGTTTTGCGCTTAAGCCGTTTGAAGTTGCCACATCTGTTTTGTTCATTAGAGCTTTTCATCCACTGTTTCTTACGCAGATTGTTTTGTTGAACTTAATTATGCTCACATCACAACCACCTATTGGTGATTTGTCGTTTATATCCCGATTACACGGTCTATGCTGTTTTGATGGGATTCCAACAACAGTGGGGTAGTTTTTGCCTGTTATGCAAGTATGATATTTGAAAGTGAATATATTTTCTTATCGAAAATTATGTTGAACGAGTTCGACACTTCCGAAAAATGATCCCCAATTTTCCAATTGCACTTCCTTTGGCTCTGTAATTATTGTAACACAGGAAATGATAAACAAGTGTTCTCTTGTCTTTTAATTCACTCGACAATTCTCGACCAGTGACGTGAAGCACAAAAGCGTATTTGGGCCATGTTTATTTGTGGCGAAACTCATTGTGAGAATTTTCTCTATCACACGCCTGTATTCATATTACTGTAAGACCACTGATACAGAGAATCGATGCTATGACTCACGCTCACTTCCGTGCACACGTGTCTCATATACGCATTCAAAGGAGAAAAAGCTCCCTTCCTCATTTTTCACATGGTTGTAGAAAATATTTCACCATTTTTGTTTTTACCAATTTTTACCCCGTTCGCATTCTTCTAACTGACGCAGCTGGCGATCGATGATTGTCACAAATGCAGAGAAAATTCTCGCCAAGTACACAAGTTAGTGACCAAATCTAGTGGGCGCATAATTGCCGCTTTTGTTGCACAAATCTGAGCGAATTTCGGAGCACAAATACGCGAATGCGGACCCCAAGCCCCATATTGTGCCGCATGGTGCACTTCCACGGCGGTCACGAATTCCGATAGAACCGAGCACAGTGTGCCTGTTTGGTGGATCAATACACTCACTTCACTTATGTGGATCACAAGCAACTTTTCGACGCTGATGAGTTTTTTTCGCTATGAGGTTTATCAGTTTATTCGTAGGCGGATTTTCAGTGACAACAAATGTGCAAAATCAGTGCTCAAAGCTCAGTTGGAGTCTCCCCTGTTCACTAAGCATGTGCTTTGCTTGCGAATGTGTCTCATTAGCGCGAAAATGCGTTCGTCAGTTTGTTCGCGTTGAGGATGCCATTGGAT